CAAACATACACTAGTAAATTGGCATTGTTATCTTTCAGGGATTGAAATCTGTTTTAGGATATATGTACTTTCATTTTTAGCAGTTGTTTACACGAGTCTTCAATATTACATTGAATGTTCGTACAGTCATACTATTTACATTTTGTGTATTACGTCATACATGAACATCAGATCGTGATCACGTAGTGTGTCTCCATCAACAATTATAAACAAAAGTACTACTCTAGACGAATATTTAATAACTAGTTCATTTTTAAACTCTTAAAGATGAAGTTACAACTGATAAGTATTATTTTTTATATTATCATGAAGTTTGGTCACGGCTACATTACTGATGTTAAGGTTTTGTCCCGAAACGGATAGACAAACAAAGACGCGCAATGAAGTAAAGAAGAGAGACTTTGACAAAACTAGTTCAGATTAAACACGCAACAACGCTGGTGGGGATATACTAAAGCACAGCACCATCATAGCACCGGAGGTACAAGACTCAGAAAACTTGGGTTTCCTAGCAGAGGCTCTCTTAACTCAAAATTGGTCTTCAAAGATTCTGTAAGCAATTAGACCAGCATCAACAGAGTTTTAAAACTTGAGCGCCACCTTCAAAAACGCTGAACAGACCAGATCTTGTAATGAAATTAGCTAGTCATTTGGCTGCTCAATCTACCTCTGAGATCGGCCAAACAGTCACCAAACGGCACAAGAATCCTTAAAGAATCCCAACTGCCAAACAGAGATGACATCAACTTCAACGTACTTGAAATCATGTGAAAACAACCACGGTTCACGGTGATTTTCTCATAATCGTGATCCTTAATGACAGCTCTAATCTTCCTCTCAGTCTTCAGGATAAAAATGACAGAATACTCTGGGAAGAGTGGAAAGGCAAGCTCAACCTTTCCAAAATTGAACCAATGTTGGTTACACGGCTCACTCGGGGAAGGACTCCAAGCAATTAAGACTCTTTCGTGTAATGTTCACTAATACTACTGATGTAGGTGTTCTCTTGTACTGCTAATAATTCTCATCTGATTGGAATATCTGAATAATGGATATCTGCTCAAGTGGCGAACCACAAGATAGCAATACCCGACATGTTTCTGTTTCGAAAGGACTGAAAAACAGGAATGGGGGAGGTGTAGCCTTTTAACTTAGACCAAGTTTACACTCAAGAGTCAATCAATCTTGATGAACCCATATGGTGCTCAGCGAGATTCTCCAATACCTCGTGGTGTCTAGTTGGAGCCATGTAAAAAGAACCCACTGCTGATACCGAGTTTGACAATCGTATACTGGGAGGATTATCTCACCCTACTCGTCTTTGACACACCGGTATCCCAATTCTATCAGACTTCGATATTCCGAAAGTCAACTTCGCTGAACATGCGTATATTAGGAGTAACAATTTCGCCGATAAGCGGTTCTTCAACCTCACTGAAGACCTGGGATTATTTGACAATGTCTAGTCAACAAATCGCTTCACAAATCGTCAAAACCCGTCGCGCTCAGACTACATATATACGAACGAGGACGATCTTATTGACAACCTCTTATTATTAGCCCCCCCCCCAGGTAGAAGTGATCACATCGTCTTAGCCCTCAACGTTATGAGTGCAAGTGAGCTAAGACATCTTACCAATAGCATGCACTGCGATTTCAAACGGTTGGATGTGTTAGATTTCAGGATAATCTACAGCAGATGGATTGGGAAGTTCACCCCAACTTGATGTGGACTTCCATTGGGATTTCCTACTGCACATGATTTTATGTGCTTCAAAAGTCTGTTCAGCGTACGGTCTTCATGAACCACAAACAACCTACATTCATCAATAATAGCCCTCCTCATTTTGTGAGCAGCATAATGCGCTACTAGACTGAGTACAAACGAACCGGTATCAACAGCGTATACAGATAATTCAAACAAGCATGAAACCAACGCACAATGGCAATAACTACTAGGTCCTAGTGGCTCAACCAGCCACGAAAGCGACGCCGCCAACCCTCTGATAGCAAGTGCCTTCGTACACTTCAACCAACCCATACTAAATTTGTTCGCAACTCAATATGATTTGCTTTAAAGAGTGTGAGGGCCGACTCGGTGTGTCGGAAACTGCATCTTATAAACACGGACACTTCTCCTGGCGTGGATATGGTCCACTCCGCTATACTGAGGTAGGCGGCTTCAACACTGACAACACCGCTTGGTGTAATGTCCTTACATTCGCCAAACCAAGGAACGTTGCCAGAAAAGTAGAGTTTGGTTCACATTATATCTGTAGAATTATGGTCTACTATTATAATAGTACAACCCTAATGATAGATCTAATCCTAAAATTGTAGATTTGTCATGATATAACTGCCTAATTTATAAGATCTTACGTGGAAGTCATATCATCGCCCACACCATCTCATTGCATTGTAACAGTCACCAATACATGGTGGAGAACAGACTTAGGCTCGAGATAGAACAATACATTTGACATGAATAAAAGACAATAAGATGACATTCAACAGGGACGACGCCTGCAAGGCCGAGCTAAACCATCCAATCAATTCGAATTAATTCAATTCTTTGATCCCGCTTTTCACCTTGTTGGGCTTTTCTCCGCGTTAAATGTTAAACATCTACTTTCCTGCTAGGTCCCAATAAATATAATAAGTGCTAACTTTTTGACCCTTTTACGGACCAATACTAAACGTATATTTTTATCGTATAATTGTTAAATAAGTAATTTATTCATATTCATATTCCTCTCATAATAAACTTTATTTTGACCTATGAACCATTGTTATGCGTTTTACCATTCTTGAATTATGCCCTATCTATTTGTCACTGTCTCCCACATTCACAGCCACATTTGAGCAAATTTTGTAAAATGTTATTTTCTATGTTACGCTACGTTGTGATCTGTTTGAAATGTAATGATTCATATTGCAGAGGATGAGATTGGTGTTCTGGACTTCACTGACTGGGCTAGACAGGAAGAGAGATCAATAAGGACTCCAGGCTGCTCGCACGTGTTTTACGAGTCTTTGGTCCGATCGATGATTCGCTGCTTCTGATTGGCGGCTTTGGGCTATAACATTTACTAATTGTCTCGTGTTCAGCTTTGAGGATTGTGTGATTATGGCCCAATGCCACTACATATCAATTTTCAAAAGAGTTCGACACAGCGAACCTTCAACTTACAGGCCGGTAGCATTTCTCTCAATACCCTCAAAATTTATGCAGTCCCTGATGTTCTATGGTCTGTGTGACTACCTGTTAACAAAATTGCTCTCCGACAGCACAGTTTCGGAATAGGTCACACTCGTATAACCAACCTGCTGAGAGAGGTGGACAGGTGAACAACCATCATTGATCGTAAGGTATCAAATCACCTTAAATTGATTAGCTCACTTCAAATCTAAATAATCGATATTTTAGGGTTAGTGTTTACTTCACTTTTTCTAAGACTATGGAATGTCTTGGTCAGTTACGCCAGTACTAGGTACCTTCTTTTCATCACTTGTATAAATGATCTTCCACAGCAGGCACCGTCGGATTTATTACATTTTACTTATGGTGTGAAACGCTGGAACTAAGCTCAACATCAAGAGAATAAACTGGCACTTCAAGAGAATCTGACTCAACTTCAAAGATGGGCAGATGACAACAGACTTATATTCAACACTTCAAAGTGTTAATTGGTCCATCTGATACATTGTAGTGACTCACGTTTATCACGAGAACACGACTGGTTTAATAAAAACAATTATTATTATAACCAACTGTACCATTGTTTGTTTTATTGCGTTTTTGTTTAACTGTGCTAATTATAGCCATTTTGTGCTTCCATTACCTTCCATCGTTGTACTGTTCGCACGTACTCCTGTCTTCTGCTTTCGCTTGTACCTTTTCTTGGCACGATCTCGGTATTCGTTCAATACCACGAGATCGCCAACGAAATAAATCTGGTTACGTTCAACCCTCACCTTCTGATTTATCTGGCACGTGTTTCTTGGTAGCGGTGTTCACAGTTAATCTCAACTCGACGCCACGCTACAACATGTTGCAGACTACAACTACAACTCGGGTAACTCCCTTCTAGTAGTATCCCAAGTTGGAAACGATTTGGGAGTGTTCGTAACCCACGATCTGAAGTCTCGCTCTGAGACAAAAAATTCCTTCCAAGCAAACCCTACACTGTTAACACTCAAGCGCCAGTTCGACGAAAGAACTTCTCACACAATCCTCAACAATTTTATTCGACCTCACTCAAAGTAGGGAACTATAGGGTTTCCTCCACCACTCTAAAAATATAAGGACACACTGCAATGTATCCTACAGCCAGTCACGAAATCAGTTCGGAGACTCGAATTTAAATCTTACGAAGGGCGCCTAAAATCGCTGAATATTTGCCCATCAGAGTACAGGCGTCCTAGAGGTGTCCTAAAGACTTACAACATCCTTAACACTTTCAGGCATCCCCTTGAACACCTACTTGAGCTTAGTCCCAATACAAAACTTAGGAGTAACACCCAGAATCTGGAGACACAACATCTCAGAATGGATTGCAGACCCACTTTCTACTCCTTGAGAGTAGTCGAATGCTGGAATTTGGTGCCTGTTGAGCTAGTCTAAATGACTCCTCATGAGTACTTTAAGAGGAAACTTAACATATACTTAAGAACAATAGACAGTATCTCGCTGCAATCTACAATTTCTTCTTCCTCTTTCTCTTTTATCGTTTAAAATACCTAGGTTCCTACTCAGAGGCATTGGTGATCCACTACTATTGGATTCGGAAACATGTTAAGCAAAAGAACAATTTGAAACCACTGCTCATGTGAATAAAAAAGTGATACTGATAAAATCTATAATAACTGTTGAAGCTACAGAGGCAGACGCTTATAAGCGAGTACAGTAGTTCCTCACCATCGATTCGTGGGCAATAAAGGTTCACGTAGTTTGTATTTTGTCAGATTAATTGTACATTCGAAACTATTATGTTAGTTTGATGTGTGCGTTACAGCTCGGGATTTTGACAGAACTTGAGAAGAGTGCAGAAGGGATAGCAAATAATTTAGACTCATTGCTTCGTTCATTAACGTCTACATTAAACCAGGTATTTCGTAATTAATCCCTCCATATGAGATTGTAAAGTGAATTACTTGTGTTATCGTGATGGGCAGCTGCAAACATGTCTGACCCAATCAACCAACAAAGGGGAAAATGCGTTGGAAAATAAGGGGGAAACGTGCCAAAATGTCTGATTTTTCTCCTGCCCAGGGGAAATAATGCGGATTTCCCCCTTTTTGTCCCTCTGTCTCTCAAATGTCGCTGAATTGTCTACTTTTCGCCTAAATACACGCCGAATTATCTACTTTTGCTAAACCTTTTGAAACACCATTGGCATAACCTCAAAGGTCTCTTATGTTCGCTTTTATTCCCACAACACACCACATTAAAACTTCAATCCACGGGAAAAATGGTATATCTTTAAATAAATTTATTAAAAAGAAAGACTATTATTATACAGCATCATAGCAGAAGCTTGAGCATCAATCGTTATGCGTTTCTTTGTAATTGCCAATCCATTGTTATTTGAAAAGATCTGCAAAAGAAGAAACAGGTGATGTATTTCTCCAAAGCTTGTCTTTATTTCCCCCATTTTTGCTTGGGTAACTGGAGAATTAAGTTACTCTTTTATTTATTTACAATATACTGTAACACTTAACATTATAATCCCAAGTGTTACTCTCCATGTTCTGTAAGCCACTCTTTGAGTGCAAATGTGATTACATTCATTCACCGATAGATATTTATGATTCAGATGACCAATTAACAATATCATGGGCGAACTACATGGAAAGCATAGAGTTTCGAGACCTTTAGCCTCATTTCTTATTGTTCCTGGCTCGCTACGTTCCCTCTTGTCGTAGAGTCAATAACTGGGATCTTATTTCCTGCTGATTGTAAACTAGTTCACACAGTTTCGTTAGTGCCGTATTTTTAATGTCGCTGCATACTCAGTTAACAGATAAGTAAATTCAAAGTGTTTTTAAATCTCATCTCAAAACTATATAATATATCATAATTTACCCCGGGAATACTGACTAGTCGGATGTAGATGTCTGACTTTTGTCCAAGTGGGTATTCGGCATCCACCTACATGGGCGGTTCGTCAGGGAAGTATCAAATGCGCCATTTTCATTTGGATAAAATATTTTATTTCATAGTGACATACCGTAAACAAACTCCAGTATCAACGCGATTTTTCACTTTTTTAACTTTTAAATATGACTACACTTTAGGTATAAGTGAATTTTGTGCCGGTGATATTATTCAAGAGAACAATGAAGGCTCTACGACCAGGCCAAAGAACGGAACTCCACCTAAACTACAAATCACCATTTCGAGTGTCTTTAGTATTAATAAATCTGGAAAAGTCGTGCAGTTTATTTTCCAGCACAACTTATCTCACATGCTATTTCCAAAATTTGTTTAACGTCTAAATGGGTCATGACTATACAAAGAGTGCCACAAAATCAAACTTTGAGCTGAAAAGCTAAGTTGTATGTTATACAGTAGCCCGTTGAGCTTATAAAATATTGGTAAGGTTAGATGTAATTCGTAGTTTCTAAAAATATGACTCCTTGATCACATAAATGCTTCCCATATGCCATAGACATCTTTTCCGAAAGGTCTACTCACACCACTTGACTATTTAAACAGTGATGGGTGAAGGCCATTTCAAACTGATATCCCATTTTACATGATTGTAGTTACTAAATATTATCTTCGTCCAAATGATAAGGACACTACTGTTTTAGTTCTATTTACCTCCTTTTCTTGTAATTCCCTCTTCGTCATTCTTGCTCCTTTCATGTTGAAACCAACATAATGGCGTACTGTTTTCTTTATGTCTTAGATGTCAAGTCTTACCTTGGACTGTACAACTGTATTTTCAGATTCCGTGGATTACGCTTGTGAAACTATCGGTGCATGTATAAAGGTTAGTTTGTTGATAAATGGCGAGTTGACATCGGTAGTTTGAAAATGTACGGCCATTACTAGCCATAATTTCTCAGTGTCTGTACTACCACATTTAAGGTTGGTTTAGGTTTCTATGAATACCCTCATTAAGGGCTCTTTATTTATATAAAGTCGAAATCTTGAATAACGGTTATCTAGTTGAGTACATTATTTATTTATTTATTTGTACACATATATATGTATACGACATTTTTGGCGTAGCTTCAGCATGAACGTTGACATGCTTCAGTGAATGCTCCGTCTTATCATTTATTGCCTGCTCTCACGTTTATATAGTGACTCATTCTACTGATTCGACAGAAACCGTTTTATGAAATAAGTATAGTGTGGAATGATCAACATACTCAACCACTGTGCCTTTCTTATCTTTGAAAGTTTACTTGACCAGAAATGGGTCATAATTTTATTTTCACAAGTGTGATTTTAAGGTATCTCACGGTGGACTGGTACATTTCCAAAATTTAATATGAAAAATAACCCTAGTGTATTGCTATGCTTAACGCTCTTATAAGTACTGGGCAACTTTACGCAATACTCTTAATGATCTTGGTTCGGATTAGAGACCACTAATCCCAACTGTAGATGTACTGTAGTTCATGCATTATGGTCCGCTTGTAAACAATAATTTTACTAACAACACCATCTTAATATGAATTTAGCACAAATCCCCAGTGCATTCTAAAACTATAAGGTTCAACAATGTAGGAAGTTTCAATAGTTTGAGAAAACAGGGATTCCCTTGTCATTATAGCAATCAACCAGTTAAAGTAAAGCCTTGTATACTTTGATTAACGTAAGATGTATTATTTGTATCTGAAATACTTAACTATTGTTGGAATATTTTCAGAACTTTTGTTTCCCCCTTAGTCCACTTATGTTTTGATGGCCAAGTGCGAAGAATTATCCAAATCTATGTCTCAGCTGGAACCGTTAAAAAAAGAAATGTGAGTTCCCTATATCTTTCTTCAGATTGTCTTAAACATGTGTACATATATCACTAATAACTCTTGTCACTCCGATTATTCAGTCATCATTGTATGTTATTTGATATAATGATTTTTTAACTCGCCTGTAGTATAAAGAGTGGATATACTAAGATGATTCAATCGGGCGAGCCTGGAATACTCTGTTCTTGAATATCCTATGAAAATTATTAAACTGCTAAATTTCGATGAGTACTTAGCTGTACTGAGTCTCTTCACTAAGTGCCCAAAGTATAGTACAAACCTCACAGAAGCAAAAACCACTTTGAATTTCATTTTTCATTTCACGCTGACCAAACGTTATCCTAAACAGGTTTGCAAATCACTCTATCGATATAAAGTCGAATCTAATGTCAAGTCACTGAAAAGATATGCTGTGAACAAAATCAAAATACTTCAAGTACATATCACTAAATTAGATTATATGCTATTGACAGTGTTCTTAGAAATCCTGAGGATCAAGTTGTGACATATGCTTCAGAAGTACAGCAAACAAGAAGGAACAAAAATTTAATGCTTTCAAAGGATTAGTTTAAAAATCTACTAATCCAGACACAAGACTTCGTAGCTTCAAGTAAGCTCAAAATAGAAGAATTTAAGATGACATTAATTGACTACTGTAACCAATTTAGAAGCAGCAAACACAACATAAAGAGGACATTGACTAGGAAACCTCGAGAAGCCACCCTGAAAACTGAGATCGAGTAAAAATTTAATAATAATGAAACTAGATAAAGGATCAGGTGTCGTAATTTTAAACAAGACTGATTCTATAGATAAATTGGTCTTCTGTTTGATGATCAAACTAAATGTCATAAACTAGGATTATGTAAAGGCCTGGCAGAAAAGATGGAACATCAACCAACTTCATCGTTAAAATCTGTAGAACAACAACAATTTATTTCTCATTCTACTTTTGACATGCTTAAATGTTCAGAAGCACGCACTCCACACCTTTTTGACCTATTTAGAGTGTCAAAACAATAAGCTCAATTACGTCCGATTCTGAATTTATCAAACACACCGTACCACTCAACAGCAAAGTGGCTCGTGAAATTATTAAGACCACTACATCGAAAGTTAGTGAAACGCAATGTAAAAGAAGTATTTGGATTTGGAAATGTATTAAGAAATATTAATCTAACGAAAATAGCCATGTCATCTTTGGATATAATGTCTTTATTTATTGGTATTTCACTGACTAAAACTATTGAATATATTTGCAAACAACTTGTAGAGAAGAACGGTGTTACTTATGCTAATAGATGAAGTGAAGAGAATTTTATTGAATTTGATAATGAGCACCCACTTCTTGCACAAAAACAAACGTTATCGACAAATAGATGAAGTAGCAGTGAGATCTCCCCTTGGTCCCATTTTCACCAATATATTTTTAGCTTAAGTGCAAAACGGCGTATTATGTGATACTCTTAGTAAACCAAAATACCACTGCCTTTATGTAGGTGATGTACCGAACATCTTCATCTACACGGTCAATATACGAGGACTCTAAGAAACATTTGATAATGCACGTCCAACGACTAGTCCCACATGTGCTTTCTTCTCTAAAAGGTAGGATGGTTCGACATAAAGAAATGTATTTAGAAAAAACTTGCACTATGTTTACTTACATAGAATCGCATCCATCCAACACAAATTAATCTAATTAAGTGTTCGAGTTACGGAAAAAGTGCTAAATATTGTTCGCAGGGGAAAAAGGTGTTGAATAATTCTTATTGGTGGATCTTATCAGGTGATATCGATGACCGTGGTTCTCATTCATTACAAGTTCCTAGTACGAAAATGAATTAAATTGGATTTTTCATCAGACAGCCTTTCTGAATTTCACAAGAGACCTACTAACTTCAAAGCAAATTATTTTCTAATCCAAAAACTTGCCAGTCCAAATATCCTTTGCCGATACTATAACCAAATATGAAATGTTTTGGCAAATATCCTATTTGTGTAATATGTTATTTTGTTTTTCTCTCCTTATCTTAGAGAAGGTTTGAAACGAACTCTAAGTAAATTTGAGGAGGCATTAAGTACACCATTGAAGTAGTTAAATAGTGAGACTTATCCTAGGAGATACTTTTCCATCTTTGTTTTGTAAAATTGTGGAACATCATTATTTCTTCATGTACATAACATGTATAGCACCTCGCTTTATTAATACATTCCTACTTACCGCAGTTATTTTGTTTGAGTAATATGTATTTGTTGTTATTACTATGTTTTTGATTATTAAATATTGTTATTTTTAACCCCAGTCTAATTAAAGTCACCATACTTGACTTTAAAAACTGGCAAAAATGATCAAAAAACTAGTTGTTCCTGTATTGGTAATTAAAGTTTTTGTTGAATGCTTGGTGAATGGCGTAACGTGATATGAAACTTGTCTCACTATGAATTGCTTTAAAGATGTTGAAACACATTGATGCTTGTAGCAATCTAGTGAACGAGAATGCAAGCGAGAACAACCAAATATGTTTGAATACAAAATTACAGAACGTCTTAGTAAAATCTGAGAACCATACGGCGAATGCTTCATCTAGAAAATGTTGATCAATTGCTTCGGATTTGACTGACCCTTCGTTTCGAAACCAAGCACTCTCTGTTCTCGTTCTTTACTCTTCGATCTTAACCTTCTGCCGCCAGGCATTTCACTTTCAACTGATGACTAAGACTACTAATGTCTGTCGACATCAGTACCACACACCACAGACTGAATTCGACTGACAATTAGGTATTCAAATAATTCCGATCGGCTAATCAATTTTGTTGGTCAGCGTAGTTGAGTCTAGGCGACTCACACCAGTAAATTCTCCCACTTCGTAATTGTCACACTACGAAGAGAAGATAATTGGTCTATTGTATTGTAAGTGTTTCTCCATTAGTTTGGCTAAGTCACTCAAAGTACATTTTAAACCGTTGTCCAACCAATTCAGATCAAAATACAACACTGCCACATGAAGCTACCTACTTGAGATGCGCTTTGTAAACAAGCTACTTAACAATTTTGGAATGGCCTAAGTAAATGACTACAAAACTCATAAAATCGTGGTCGACTTTCAGGAATGACATTTCTGATGACGGGTTTACGTTAGTCTGAGAAGCTAAGAAACAAGGACTGTTGTTAGCTACCTCAGAACTACTCAGCAGTCCGTACACATAACCCTGATAGCAATAAACTCAAAACCCTCAGGTTATGCATCCAACTCGTTACTTTCAAACGAACTTGATAAAAAGTCTATCCAAACACGTCATCACAATCTGCTTGAATGGTACTTGAATTTGTCGTTAAGTGAAACTACATCTGTTTGCTTCTAGAAATCACTAAAATGAATCAAAACACTTGACTAACACGAGTTGGCTTTTATTAGTCATCGCGACGATGTTGCATTTGCAATGAGCGCTACTTCAGAGAAGACAGAGTGGCTAAACTCTAATTTAGGGACGATCTTCGAACGAATCTTAAATGACCTTGACAATTATTAGCCAATCAGAAGACAGCTAGTATAAAGTGAAAATATAAGTAAGTAATGAATTACAGTGGATATTCTTCTTTTACATGATTTAAAAACTTGTTAAGGTTTGATAATGGTTCAGAAGTTATGAATTCATAATGCATATGGTATAGAAACTCATCCATAGGATTAGGGTGCTAACATTCGAGCGGTTTACAACGGATTTTAGAGGTTAGGATTAGGGTTGTAGCCTAGGGTTAGCTTTAGGGTAAGGGTTGGGGTTGTAGCCTCTCCTCTAAAATCCGATGTAAACCGATCGCATGTTAGCACCCTAATCCTATGGATGAGTTTCTATACCATATGCATTATGAATTCATAACTTCTGAACCTTTATCAAGCCTTAACAAGTTTTTTAATCATGTAAAAGAAAAATATCCACTGTAATTCATTAATTTCTTGTAATATATTTTTACTTTATACTGTCTTCTGATTGACTCGTCGCTAAATTAGTCTCACCGATAGAGTTTGTTCCACTCCAGATACTTCTGCGAATTCGCAATAGTACTGCTGATGCAAAACCAAAACAGGTGTAAAGCAAATCAAAGTACCGAAATCGGCGATATTAAAATGGCTATTGACTAATCTCTTCGTTGTGTTCTCCAACGGTGTATGTAATGAATTCAAAAAAGGATTGGTCTTATGTGTAGCATATTCACATGTATGTCAACAGTTACTGGATGTGATCATATCTCTTTTGTTAGTTGTTGACCTAAGGTGATTGGTCATTGTTGATATAATCGACGAGAAAAACGCGATTCATGACTTCACTCAATCGTTCTTACAAGGAATCCAAGAACGACTAGAGATTACTGGTGCTACTTTCGTATTTGTATGTAGTCAGTAGAGAGACGCTGACAAGTAATTATTTTTTACCCAGATTCCCTCTTTCTACGTTTATTTATCGGTAAGCTAAAAGTGCTTGTTTTTTTGTCGAATGGAGTTAACTGTTGACATTTGATCAGCATGAAGATGGTTTTCACCACGAGTTGATACCTGTTGGGGAATTGCCAAAAGCCAAAAACACTGTCTAATCGTTTCGTCTTAATTAGGCGTCTAGAGACTAACATGGAATCCAATCCAAGACAATAAGTTCTTGAACCAAGTACCTGATCGAACAACAAACACACACTGATTGGTGAACAGCATCAAGATGGATCAAAATAGTTGAGAGTGACAATTGTCTCATAGAATTCAATCTGTGACTAGTCAGTATTATACTAAATGTGAGATCTGAAAATCTCTTATTTGACTCAGTATTACCTGATGGGTGCGCATCGCTTGGTTGTCTCAAGCTCAGATGTAATATCTAGTTGATTCTTCTTAACTTTTCTGTATCCTCCAACTGATGTCAGTCTGTAACAAAAACCACCTCAAATATTCGTTTATGTTTCTAGATCACTACAACTAAAGAGTTAGTCTTTGCATGACAGTCAGCCAGTTTATTCATATATCTGCCTATAAATTGACGTGATAGATGTGCATAAATCGAGTTTCTCTATTAGTCAATAAAGCAGCTCTTTTGAAATAGAATTTGTAATTCAAGCTCAAGATCCGCAATGTGAATATGAATCAATCTCACGAAAGCATAAACCCAATCTACAGAGAAGAAGGAACAAATCAATCAGTAACATAATAAAGCTTTTTAGTGGTTTAGTGAGGAACGGATAGTTTTGAGGAGGAGGAGAAGAGGACGAAATCTCTTCTCAAAGATGAATAAATATGAAAAGTGAATTATTGGTTATACTGGCTCAATATTAATATGTTGTTTCATAGACGTTGAAACTGTCGATTTGATTTCGTGCGAAGATGTTTACCCACTGTACTGACTAACATCAAACAGCATGGAATATTGTGATAGTTTGAAGTATTCGAATTATAGTACAAACTAGGAATCCCTGAAATAACGCTATTTAACCAAGATGTATCAGATAAGCACGAAAGAAAGTCTTATACATGGAATTCGAAAGGAATCACTAGTTCATACAAACGCCACATTCACCTTAGCTTAAATGAGAATCAAAATTTCTGCAGTCGATTTTGTCTCTTCTTCTTAACTTCATCGTGTGTTTGTCTGACTGTGTATTGGATGTAGACTCTGTATGACCTAGAATATACTCATTATTATTAGAATGAACAACTAAAGTCGGTTGTGTACTAAAATCACTGATATCTAGAATTGGAACCATAGGTTTTTCAACACTCCCACGATATAATATTGGATCCTCATATCCACAAACGATAAATGATCTGGCCTAATTTAAAACATATTTCTCACATTGGTTAGAGAATTCATTTGAAGTGACCTCATGATAAGGATAAACAACAGTTGATATAAAATCATCGAAATCGATCTCATGTGAGACTTGTGCTTTGCATTGAACAAGTTCCCCACAAGAAACAAATGCATTATGAAAGCAAATAAAATTTGATATAACATCAGGATCTGATTTCTCTAAAGTATTTTCATCAAATTTATTAACAAATGTCATTGAAGAATTGTGAATCATTAGAAAAATAAGCATCTATCGGAGTTTCGATCATGATTTGATTCATTCAACATATTTTCTTCAGATTTATATGAAATTACATCAGAAATATGTGAACCGTTAGGACAAATGATATCTGGTACAATGACATGAGGAATCCGGTAAGAAGGTTATTGACTTGTAGCTTTTGCCTAACAATGATTCTGGACTGCTATATGACCGTATGCTGCTTTTCGAAGTCGTGGATAAAGATAAATGATCATTAGAAACACCCAACTTAATAAGACCAAACTTAGGATTGCTTGCAGCGAAATGAATGTTAGTATTACTGACTGCCGGCATGTGTCAAATCATACCACATTTAAAGCATTTAGGATTACGAAATATACATGAATTACGTGAGTGAGACTTCCCACAGATCAAACATTTACCAAACTTGTGCTCATCTTCGTGACCTGCTTCTCAACTACTCAATGAACTGTTATCTGAATAACCTTGATTACGTATTAGACGGGGACCACGTAGTAAAGTAATGGGATCCTGATGTCCCGACGAATCATTTTATAAAATTTCCTTCCTTTACGGCATTCGAAATTTATACACTTTACATGGTCTAGTAGTAGTCGCTTGCGAGTTGCATAAGGAAACGAAATAAGCTTTTCTGGTAAAGCCAGAGTTTTGATAAGCTGTATGATTTTCTTCCCGACGAATGTAAGGAAGTGAGTCACAATATTAACACTCAGATTTTAAAATCTTCCGTGTAATCCTCAAAATCTGAATGTATGTCTAAACGTTCCATCGCGACGCCAATGTGATGATTTAAATTATAGTGCAAACTAGGAATCCTAGAAATAACACAATCTAACCAAGAAATATTAGATGAGCACGAACGAACGTATTGTATTTGGAATTTGAAGTCAGGCAGTCATCAAGTACAAAGGAATCATTAGTTCATACAAACACCATGAATAGACATTTAGTTCAGTGTGGTTTTTTATATTATCTAATGAAGTAAATCATCTTGGTAATAAATTATCGATTGGGTTATTGATAACACATTTTAAACTTATATTTAGCTAGTTAATGATTATATAATTATTTTCGATGATAACGTTGATAATTTTTAACAGACTAAAACCATTGTAACGGTTTCCCTTTACATGTATTTCTCTATATTACTTGTTATATACACGTCATTATATACATCATACTGTAATTCTAGTCCATTATATTTTATTTATCAAGAAGCATGGCCTGCATCCTTAGCATGGAAATGTAGTGGTACACCAATGTTAAAAGGACAACGTGTTCAGTTCATTGAAGAAGCGACAGAAGTTTATTATGATACATTAATGTCTGGAAGATTTATAGAAGATAGAAATCTAGACATTGTCATACCACCAAATAGCATATTAAAATCAAAAGATTATTTAAATATGCTTGATCTAGTAATACATACATCAGGAAAAAATCTTGGTAATCCAGTTGTAATGCGGATTAATTGTGAATTAATGAATAATTTAAAATGGGTCAAAGAAGTATACAATAGAGAATTATCCAGAAATACAAAGACATTTAGAGCTATACTGGATATTATTTATAGGTAAAAATCAAATTTCAATTGATTTGTTTATTCGTAATGCTTTCAACTGAATCTTCACAACTTTTATCCGGTAGTTAAAATGTTTTACAAAGGTGTAACCAATTAAGTCGACCACCAAAAAGGCATCATAGAATAAAAAAAGCAATACAAGTAACGAAGATGATTTTATGTATGAGAAACTGATGACATTGATGTCAGTATACGACAAACATTTTACTAGGATAACGAGTCTCAACTCAGCCGATGAATATAAAGAAACAATATTATAGTAGTAGGGAGAAATAATATAAGTGATTGCTTGCGGTGGTAAATGATTGGGATACTGGTATACTGTCTATATACTTAACGGATTGTCTCATATGGGTGGTGCTGGACTAAACAATGATAATACTCAGTAAGCTAGTTAAATCTGCCAAAAATAACAAGGTTTCCACCAGTATTCATTACTTTCGAAATTGTTAACAGCATAATAGCGGAAGAATACTAAAATAGACGAGGAAAATAAGAAATAAATTGATATGTGATGAGCAAAAACACTGTAGATTGAAGAAAGTGTTGTAGTGGAGATAAAGAGTAAATATATCAGCAGAGAATGAATGTGAAGTAAATCCAACGTTTCGCCTGGCAATCTGATTCAAATTTTTTCAAGGAAATATAATCAAACATCAAAATTATTGTTGGGCCAGATCAACAGGCGAAACGTTGGATTTACTTCAAATTCATTCAATAAGATCTTACAAATACATTCTTCCTTTTTAATGTTTCACATCAACTCGGTGCCCAAATACTGTGAAACTATTCGATTAAATTTAAACGAAAGTTCTTATTTATGGATCGGCATATTTTTAATTAAATTTGAGACATTGCACTATTGCCCAGAAACTACGTATTTCGCATTCCTCATGTTAACTAGGAAAAATATACCTTTATATGGGGTAGAATGTATTGATTTCTTGTCAAGAAATATTTCTCCTTATCCGTCATGATTATACTTTATAGTTATTAATGTTTTGGAATGAGTTGATATGTAACTTTGATATTATTATCAAAACATATAACTGGAGCAAATATAAGTGAACATGATTACTGTCAATATGCAAAACTGGGCTATGTACTATTTTCAAAAGGCCTTTATTCAAAGATTTCAATTTGTATTTTTAAAATTTGATTACATTAAACAATGCGATAAATCATTAGTTTTGAACTTACTGGGGATTTCATACAACTTCATAATAGTTTTGTAATATATGGTGAATCATACATGTCCTCATACATCGGAATATATTTATATCAATAAACATTTCTAAAATTCATTTCCTTCGTCAGAACCCGTAGTGGAAATACTAAAAGGACATATTCATATATAATGACTGAATAAAATTGTACTCCGTTCTCTTCTCCATTGTGAAATTACTAAATAGAGTCAAATAAACCGATCAATTAAACAGATGGGTTATTATCATTATCATATGTTCGGCAACTTTAAATCTTAAAAAAATTTATAGTTAATAAACGTATTATATAATTAAGATCATGAATAGGCATCAAGTGTAAGAATACAAAAAATCACGCTGAACTAAATATTCATTCCATGCTGTTTGATGTTAGTCAGTACAGTGGGTAAACATCTTCGCAAGAAATCAAATCGACAGTTTCAACGTCTATGAAACAACATATTAATATTGAGCCAGTATAACCAATAATTCACTTTTCATATATTTATTCATCTTTGAGAAGAGATTTCTTCTTCTCCTCTTCCTCAAAACTATCCGTTCCTCACTAAACCACTAAAAAGCTTTATTATGTTACTAATTGATTTGTTCCTTCTTCTCTGTAGATTGGGTTTATGCATTCGTGAGATTGATCCACATTTAAATTGCCCAGATGTTTGTCGAGGTAAAACACATAAATTTTGCAAAGACAAACCATACACTGTTGGTTT